TCCCTGGGTGAAGTTGGCAGAGGAACTGGGCGACTGATTCAAGTTGGGGAGGGGCTGTAATGGGATTGAGACTACAGATAAATAAGGTTGGAAGTACCCTGAATACTAACAGGTCACCATAGGGATGGGGGCAAGGAGTGAGATTTCCCTCCAAGGGGAGAGTGCAGAACTTGCCCACACAAAGTTGACATCCTCATGTGGTGGAAAGGAGCTCAAAAAGCTTTTCTTTATCCAGTGGGCTGGCATTTCAGATTCTCTGAGGCTTCAGTTGAAAAGCAGAGAAGAGAAGAACTACTATCTTGAATGTATCAGTTCCTTTTTATAAACTAAAAGGTGGTGGAGCTAGTGCCAGAGCTATAAAGAAATTTAATCCCAAACATTTATTTCAAAGATAATGCTCACCCTTCTTTCCATGTCCTTTTCTTTTTTAGAATTTAATTTTCTAAAGGATCAGACTAAAGAATGTATTTTGTTTTTGAAATTCAACTTCTATATAGTTCAATTATCGGACATCCCACTGCACTTTCTGCCGTATTTTGATTATAATATTTATTGTAATACCCATATAACACCCATATCCTATCATGTGAACAGAAGGGAGTTTTGGCAATGAGGGAGGTATGATGTAATTCTGCCAGAGGTTCTTTTCAGATTCTGTTTCGGTAGCAAACACTAGCAACTCTTTTACCCAAGCAGTCACAAAAATATTTTCCCATGCCCTGAATTTACATATTCGATTATATTCTCTTGAGACATCAGGGACTTCTGCGCTTTCCATCCATAAAAAGTTTACGCTAATCTTGCCTGTTTTCTTTTACATTTTAGGTTCTAAGCAAAGCCAACAATAATTAATATAAATTAAGAATGCTGACATGGAAAGCTGTTCCTTATCAATCTGTCACACGCTAAATATGCTGCACAGAATCATAATAGATTAGCGTCAAAGTCCAGTGAAATGGTCATGAAAGAGGCCAAATATATTTGGATAACATTCATTGAAATCTATTGCTATGAACAGGTCTAAAGCTGTACGCCATATAATTCCAAGAATTCAAATGAAATTTGTCTTCAGTGCTATGAGATTTCTGGGATGTTCTGACAGAATCACATTTTATTTAGAACTTCTGGCCTGGACAGAGTCTTACATTTCTCTCAAAGTCAAGGTCATTAATAAAGGTCTGTGCTGTCCAGTACAGAAGGCACTAACCCCATGTGGCTATTGAACACTTGAAATATGACTATGCTGAGATAGGTTGTAAGTATAAAACATACACTGGATTTCAAGAATTACTTATTACAAAAATACACACTAGTTCAGTAATATTTTTACATGTTCAATTTTAAAATTAATTTTTAATATTAATCACATGCTAAAATGATAATATTTTGGATATACTGGGGTTAAATAAAATATACTATTAAAATTAACTCCACCTTCTTCATGTCCTGAAATATGGCCACCTGAAAATTTTAAGTCACAGTTCCTGACTCTTATTACATTTCTGTGGGGCCGTGAGGCTCCAGGCTGTATCCCAGTTTTGAGGGGAGCCACAAGGAGGCAGTCGAGTGTGGTCACACAGGTCGAGGTTCAATTCCCACGCCTTCTCTTTCCTCCCTAAGGCACCTCGGCACATTACTTCCTCAAGCCTTCGTTTCATCATTTAGAAAATAGGAATGAGGACATTGCCCTGCTCTCAAGGATGATCAAATCTAATGCTTGTGTCTAAAAAGATGCTCCGGTTCTCAGAATGAGCATTAACTTCTAAATTATAAAAAAAAGGCACAATTTAAAAAAACTTAGCTGCCTAATGAGAAACAGGGTAAAAATCTTAAACAAATAGTAAAATGGATCAGATCAAACACAATTTAAAATATCCTTTTTTTTTTTTTTGTCTTTGACTCATTGCTACTTAATAGCAGACATACATTAAGGAAAGGGGAAATGAAACTCAGAGTTAATTAAATGTGGATTAGCTCTATTTTCTGGGTCACCTCTCTCTGCTACTGAGGGACATAATGTAAACAAACATTACTGTTTCCTTAAAAGAAAAAAAAAAAACCATGATGGGTTTTTCTCCCAAAGGCAATCACATGTCATTAAACAGCTAAATATTAAGTAATTTTTGGGTTGGAGGGCTATTTGGGCAGCATGGGTAAAGGAAAGTGAATAGAACAGTAGTCCAAGGGCAGGGATTCAATCCTGGATCTGCCAGAGCCTAGGCCAATGGCACATGGGATCTCTGAGCCTTGGTTCTGTAAAATGGGGATGTGGATGATAAACCTTTCACAGTAGATTAAAGATTAAATTAAATAATGCGTATGAAAATACTTATCTGTAAACTGTAAAGTATTATGTAAATGTTAGCTATTATGGTTTTATTCCACTGGGTTGTAAGGATAATCTACATGGATATAGCCACTCTGCTCTCTGATAGAAATCAAAAGAGCAAAAGGCAAACCACAGTGGCTTTGTACAAGGTACTCCACTTTTCAGGACCCTCATTCCCTCTTCTTCCCTGTCTACTTTAAAGAGTTACTAGGAGGGCCTCATTAAAAAAAAAAAAAAAATGCACTCAGAAAACTACAGTCTTACGCAAATGTAAAGCATTGTTGTTGGTCTGGATAATCATCAAGAGTTGATTTTGACAAAACCTCTGACAAAGAGAGAAAAAATCCCATGTTCAGTATCCAGGAGTCCCTCCTACTGTGAAAAATAGCCATTACCATAGTCCAAAAAATAATTCCTTGTCCTTTTAACTCACATATACTCATTCATGATGATCGTTAATGGCAATAATATGTGATTGAAAAAGGAAGGCTAGAGCGTGCATCTCTTGTTCAGGTCTTGGCAAGATGAAATTTAAGGACTGTCGACTGTCATTTTTAAGTAGAGCCCCATTCAGCACAATATGATCATCATCACTGCAGGACATTATTCCTAACAAGAACTGCCATTAAAGCTGGGTCTTTAGGGCAACAAACACTCATCGATGTGGTCTTTAAAATCAGTACTGTATAGTCCAGGTACCCCAAAGATGCTGACAGGACTTTATCTGGCCATTAAATTATTTGGGCTCTAAGGTAGGACATAAACAGATGCCAACAATGACTTTAAAAAAATGAGTCCTTGGAACGTCACATAAATAAGTAAGAGCTCATCAAAATAGTTGAGTAAAATCAAAGCACCCTACTGGCCTGCAACTATTACCTGCAATGACTAGAACTCATTTTCCCCACATCTCTTGATTGGTTATTGTTTTTAATAGGAGCTGACTAGTACTAAAATGGCTTTTCTGTCACAGTGTGTCCCACTTCATTCTTCATTGTTTCTCAGCATTCTCAATGTGTATCAAATTGTAACAAAAAATTCTCTAATTTGAAAAAATAAGTATATTTGGTTTTTGCTGATTTATACTTTTATTCCTTTCATTTGAATTGTACTTTCTCCGCATTTACTTATTTTTGTATAGTATTCCCTGATTTTGTGCTCCGGTAATGGACAAAGCCATTCCTAAACAGAAAACAGACTCAGGATGGCATGTAATACCATATTAGATTGTTCTGTGATTAACCCACCCCAGCGCTTCTGCCCAAACGGGATTAGATAAAAACACACATTAACACACACATTAGGAAAAAGGACCAATATCTACCTGTATATGTCAACTTCAAGGAGTAAACAGGAAGGTGAAGAAGTTGCATCATATGGAGTTAGTGAGGCAATGAAGACAATCCCGTTAGTGAGTGGACAAGAGAACAAAGCAAACCATCAGCTTTAAAGGTAACGGACGAGTGCTCTAGAAGTTTAGAGACTTGGAAACCAATTCAGTAAGTGTGGAGATTTTTTTTTTTTAAGATTTATTTATTTATTTTAGGGAGAGAGAGAGACAGAGAGAGAGAGAGCAAGGGGGAAGGGGCAGAGGGAGAGAGAGAGGAGGAATCTCAAGCAGACCCCATGCTGACCATGGAGCCTGACATGGGCCCCGATCTCATGACCCTGGATCATGACCTGAGCCGAAACCATGAGTCAGACGCTCGCTCAACTGACTGAGCCACCCAGGGGCCCCCAGTAAGTGTGTGGAATGTCAGTATCCCAACAAGCAGAGATAAATACATCACCGCACTCTCATTCCAAACATTTTTCACCCAATTTCCACTTCTGATGTTTTCATCCTGTTTTCTTAAGTTTAGAAATTAAATTCCATAACTTCCACCATTTCATTATTGTCAAAACTACAGGTGCCCACACCATCACCAAGATGCCTAGACTTTGTATTAATAAAAATACAAGATGCAGAAGTACCCCTGTTTTAGTCTTCAGTAATACTAATTGCACTGTCAACCTTTTACAGGGCGGTGAGTGAAAAGCAAACACCAGCGACTGATTGTACCTGGCAGGTCTCCCTAAGATCTTAGCAAGAGTTACCATTACTAAGTCAAGGCAGGCCTTGCTCCATTTCTTACCACTAGTACACGCTGAACACGAGTCGTGGTTATGTCATCTGGCCGCAGCTTTAGAGCTCACTGCTCTTCCTAGATGAGCGCTTTGCCCAAAGAATGTTCATGGAATACTTGGGAAATGCCTTACCAAAAAAAAAAATTTGACTTTGGGCAATGTCGTATTCCATACTGCCTTCTTGAAGATTCACAGGGCATTTAGCATATTAATGGTTCTTGCAAGAGGGGGAGTCCTCTTGGTCTAACTCAGCATTTCCTAAGTTTACCTGACCATGTAACCCTTCCCTATCCCCACCCCTCTACAGACCACCCAGGTACATCTCCCAGAGCTAACACTTCCAGGGAGTCACTCTGGGAAATATTCTTTTAGACTGAGGAGGCATAGAATTATTTCAGATGAACATGACCTCCTCTCAAAGCTTGAAAACCGTAATTATTCCACTCTGGGAAGAGGAGACAGGAGCACAACCAAATGAGTATTAAGAAGGAAAGGATTTCCTGAAATTACAAGACTGCCCGATGAAAGATATCCGTTCTACTTACTTAAGGAGATTTCCAAGATTGAAGAGAGCCCGGCTGTGCTGTGGATTTAGCTGGAGAGCCCTCTGATAGCACCTCTTTGCCTCTGCTGTGTCTCTCGTCAGTGTTCCAAGGTTGTTCAGGGCACTTGCGTGGCGAGGATACAACCTGGAAAATTAGAAATATTCAGCCATGATTGTTCAAAAACTTCTAAGCTGGGCACGATGGGCTTGTTCTCCCTCTCCCCCCCGCCACCCCAGGAATGCCACAACCAAAATCGAACACTGAATTCTTCCTTTATTTTAATGGTTTGTCCATGTGAAATCTTTTTTTTTTTTTTAAAGATTTTATTTATTTATTTGAGAGAGAGAGACACAGCGAGAGAGGGAACACAAGCAGGGGGAGTGGGAGAGGGAGAAGCAGGCTTCCCGCCGAGCAGGGAGCCCGATGCGGGGCTCGATCCCAGGACCCTGGGATCATGACCTGAGCCGAAGGCAGACGCTTAACGACTGAGCCACCCAGGCGCCCCTGTCCATGTGAAATCTTAATGGTCAACTATGTGTGCAGCTGAGGGCATATAAATATGGAAGCAGATCTTTGACCCTTAGTGGTATAATAACCCCCAAATGGTGCAAAAATAAACCATGCAAATCTATCAGGGTCAAACAAATTTTAATCCTTTGGAGCCTATATTACTTTCAATTTGCTTTGGCAGAAAATCCTCACTGCCTCATTGCTTCTGAGTTTCTGGGCTGGTGGGACTGCTGACCAGCAGCTTCTACGGTGCCCACTATGTATACAAGACGCTGGGGGTTCCTTGGATGAGGGCATCTTCATGAACATACTTGGACTGGAAGATCCCTAAGACCACCATTATTGAGAAAGGGTAATACACAAGGTCTTCCCATAAAAACAAACTTTATCCCTAAAATGGCTTTCCATCTTGGCTCTCTTTTTCCATTTTATCTCCTTTCCCTCCTCCTACTGTAATTTGGTACCAACTGGCCTGATACAGTTCTCAAATGAAAATCCCGACAAACACTTTTTAAAAAATTTAAATAATGCACGACGAAGTGAAAATAGCATTCCCAATGTTCAAAAGCAAATGTAAAGGAGGATCGGGGATACATCAGTAAACCAAATTTATGCTGATTAAGGAAGGAAGGGAATCAATTTACTTCCTTAACTCAAAACCATCAAGAAGGCAAATCCGCACAGCTCCACAGTTTAGTTGTTTCTGCTATATTTAGAGCAGAATATTTAGCAGACTAAGAGGTTCACTCCATCTCTGTCACCTGGAGTACTCTGCATAAGCCTGCGGAACTGGCTCTTAATGTAGGAATGCCAAGAAATGAAAATACGATGTATACTTGTCAAGCCTCTTGACAATCAAATGACAGGCTTGCCTCCTCCCACTCTGTTCCGTACCTTCTAAGAAGATCAATTTATTTGTGGACAGAAGGGCGTCCTATTAAAAGGCTGACAAGACAAGTCTCATGGGTTTTGTTTTGTTTTTTTTTTAAATCTTTGCTTAAACCAAGTTTCCTAAGTTTATTTGACCATGTAATCCTCCCTTCCCTACTCCCTTCTAGAGCAGCAAGGAACACGACGAACATCCCCCAGAACTAGCATTTTCAGGAAGACATGCCAGGTGATGCTCTTCATGACTGACAAGGGATAGAATCTATTCAGTGGCATGTTATGGCCTCCCAAAGCCTGAAAGCCTTAATTACTCTCAATGGCTGTAGAGGCTGTTGGGGAGAGAGATATTATGAGAGGAAGCTGGGAAAAGGAAAACACACTGGGCCAGCACACGGCACCGTGGTTTGCTTCTCTAGGGTCACCTTCACTCAGGCAAAGACAACCCGAGGTCCCTGGGGGTAGCCCCATCACCCCCAGCCTCACAGTCCTGAGGGAAGCAAGTCCTTGGCTCTCTCTTTCTCTGAGATTCCACTAAGGGATATCAGAACTATGATGAGAGACAAAATGCCCTTGGATCTGCTCATGCACTCTGCCCACAAAGGTCTCCTAGGAAGTCTGGGTCTAAGAATGATTTTGGAAGTGATTACAGAAAACTTACCACAGCCAGGACTCAAAATCTTCTAAAGAAACTTTTTTTTTTTTGGCAGGGGGAGATGTTGAGCAAAGCTCTCTGACCTCCCAAAGATTTAAGTGAACACGGTGAGAGCAATTCTTGTTTCCCTGTTGACCAGCTGTAAGAGGAAGCTTCCCGGGGACATCTGCCTTCTTAAAACTTGATCTTTTGCTTATTTCTTTAGGCTTGGGAGCCCTTGAAATCAATGTCTGAGGTGAAAGCACTACCTATGGGAAAGGATGGTCTAAATTCAATAAGATCTTCCCCCAAGGACTCACCCACCTCTTGCCGCGCCCATCTACACTGTCAAGCAACTGCCCTCGGCACTGGCTCTCCGCCCACCTTGTCAAACTTTATCTTCACTCACGATTCCACTGTCACTTAAACAGTCATGGGCTTTCACATTTCATGGAGTCCATGTTTCTCTCTCCCCTTTCTTTTTTCCAATTCAGAAACTGAATATAAGTCCACACCAAACTCTCAAAACCAGAAATAAGCAGCGAGAAAGGAAGCAACGAGAAACCGGTATGAGCCTTGTGAGGAAAAGGGCCTTGAGTGAGACTTTTGCTCCAAAAACTTGTCTGCCAGCCACAGTCAGGGAAGACGCTGTATGTTAACGAAGAGTCTCGACCCAGGGAGGAAGGGGATTGCTGGCTTCTAGAGTGGTTTACTGAACCTATTGCCACCCAGAGCCCTCCACCTGAAAAATGTGTGAGATCGTGTATTCCTGGTAATAGTAAGGGTCTGCTAGCAATATCCTCTCTCACTGGGTATCTGCTTCGGTTCAGCTACTCACAAGCAAGCATTGCATTATTTATAAAACAAAGCTGAATTTCATCAACAAGATTCTTCAATAACTAGGTCAGGAAAAAAAAACATTTTATTTTGAGTTCAAGATAGATGTAGATATATAGATATATATTTTTTTTTAGATTTTATTTATTTATTTGAGAGAGAGAGCACATGAGACAGGGGAGGGTCAGAGGGAGAAGCAGACTCCCCGCTGAGCAGGGAGCCCGACGCGGGACTCGATCCAGGGACTCCAGGATCATGACCCGAGCCGAAGGCAGTCGCTTAACCAACTGAGCCACCAAGGCGCCCCGATGTAGATATATTCTTAAAACACATACTCTTCTCTTGTTTACTGAAGACCTAGGCAAGGACAAGGTTATTTTGTGCGTTTACTTTTTTAAATGAACTTGTGTTTGAATTAGCTTGGGTCCAAGTCAATATTGAGGTCTCCAGGAGGGGAATTTTCTACTGGAAAAATGAACAATTTAAGAGATGTTTATGTTGCTACATCCCTGGTCAGAATAAATTAAGCCCATCTTGACTTTGACTTCTATAGGTATGTTTTACAAAATTTCTGTTAGTGATTAATTATTCCCTTCCCCATCTAAAAAAAAATCTCAACAAAAGTGTCACTGAACTAGAGTGGAGTGGTGTTTTCAGACCTATTTTTTTTTAAGACGAGTGTGAACAGCCATGGGATTTTCTTTCTCACACTCTTACTCAACATTTGTATTGTTTATGGGTGCTCTGTTGCTATTTCTTTATTACTGTCATTCTTATTTTGGTGAGTTAAATTTTTAAAAATTTATTATACAGAAAATATGCTGTTTTGTCAAGCAGCTCCAGGGTATAAGGAAGCTTATTTTTTTCTCTTTAAAAATGAAATCTTGGGGCACCTGGGTGGCTCAGTCAGTTAAGCATCCGACTTTTGATTTCGGCTCACGTCATGATCTCAGGGTCGGGATACTGAGTCCCGCATTGGACTCCCCAATGGGTGTGGAGCCTGCTTAAGATTCTCTCTCCCCCTCTCTTTGTCCCTCCCCCACTAAAAAAATAGAATAAAATAAAAATGAAATCTAGAGATACAGTTATCTCAGACTGAGATAATTTTTTTCATGTATTGGAAAATTTGTATTCTTGATAAGTACATGTACATTTGAGCATTTAAGGGGTTCTTAATTTTTATCTACTAGCATTTCCTTATGCAGAATTGATAAAGTAGATAGTTAAGGATATAATTATTATTCCCCTCCATTCCCAGTTACCTTAGCTCTGAGAATCAACATCAACAACATATTAATAGATCATTACTGGGGGTGGGAACAAAAGAAAATGGGTCCAAAGGGACCTAGGATAGATTAATGATACTTCACACTTTTTCTTCCATTTTCTCATCTAACCCTCCTTTTTTTTTTTAAGATTTTACTTATTTATTTGTCAGAGAGAGAGAGAGCACAAGCAGGGGGAGCAGCAGGCTCCCCACCAAGGAAGGAGCCTGATGTGGGACTTGATTCCAGGACCCTGGCATCATGACCTGAGCTGAAGGCTGAGGCCTAACTGACTGAGCCACCCAGGGATCCCTAACCCTCCTAATTCTTCAGGTAGAATTACTGTACTGTGTTATAGCTATGGAAAGAAATTGAGTAGATAATAGATTTAAAAAAAAAATCAGAAGCAGTTGTGTTCTTGTGTTAAGAAGACAGTTGGTTCCTGTAAATCTATTTATTTTCCAAAAAAATCTTGAGTCATTCCACCTTCAGCAAATACATAAACTGCTACAAATTAGAGCTTCCATTTAGAATAACTTCTCCTTTTTTTCTTTGGCCAGTCCATTCGACTATGATATTACAGGAACCAGTTCTCAGGGACAGAAGTAGAATAAACTCAATACTCAGGACACTTGGCTACTGAGATGCTTATGCACTGGAAAAATATGTTATCTGCCATACAAAATAACCATGGTATCTCTGAAGACCACAGTATTTGGAAAAGCGTTTTAGAACCAGCAATACTCAGTAAGTGTACAAGATATATGTATGCTCTCATTACTGTTCTTAAGCTTCAACCTCAAGGTCAACCTGAAGACTCAAAGACATAAGATGGATGTGACTAAAGTGTGGTTTTATATTTTCTTTCAGTCATTTACTTTGAATTTTGTACAGTCTTTTCAAAAGTTAAGGATGCTCATAATTTTTCAACGTTTTGAGTACCTTATAAAAGGCATTTCATTGTGCAAGCAACATTGTATCATGAGCTCCAGTTTGCAATTTCCCTTCAGAAT